ACCCCTAAAAGTGACCACTGGGAACTTTTGGCCTTTGTAAACAGTCCAGATTTTGTTCCAAGGTAAGAGAGAGCCTTCTGACCTGAAGCCAGCCAGGAAGGATTCCTTTCAAGTCAGTAAACAACATCTAATAAATTACAATGAACAACCAAATGTAGATATTCTGAAATAGTCAGGGCTAAAAGATTTTAACAGGAATTTTGTAAAAGCAGTTACATCCAAGCCATTTTTAGGGTATAACATGCATTAAATATTTTATTTACAGGTATTTATGTTCAATACCGGCTTGTACAACTGTTCCTTTCAGGATGAGCTGTAATTGACAAAAATCTTAGATTTAAAACTTTGTCCAGACATGGTGCAACACGTTTAAAGTTTCTGTCCCAACCAGCCATGATTGCAACAAACGACATTGCACTACACATATAATTGGTCCAAAATCTCCATAACTGTGTATGCATATCATATACGTTATGATTGGCTCTATTTGCGCCACTATGCACAACAATTTAATTTTTAACATGGAAAGGAAATCATAAATAAACCTCTCAAGTTGTTGCATTGCATCTTGGTTAGGCCAGAGTATCTGGCATAAAACAGAGGCACTTACCTCCATTATCCTGTCATGGATCTGCAAACCCCCTTCTTTATCCGCCGGTCCATTTTCCACAATCTTTGACACAAAGATTCCTTCATTCGAAGTGCCATCTTTATTATCCTGCAATTCAAAAACAAGGCAGCAATATTTAGCTAAAAAGATCAATAAATCTGAATTACCATCCAATAAACCTCTTTAGTAAGGGTTATAGATGCAAAGTAATTTTTATTGCAAAATAAAAATAAAATGAATAACAAAGACATACACACTCCCTTTAAGACACATCCAAAACACAAATAATTGTTTGCAGGTGTACAAGTAATGCGCTCCATTGTTTAGCTTCTCTGCAAATGCATTGTCAAATGAAAGACATATTGTGTTCATAGAAGGATTGGGGAGACTAAAAAAGATGATCGCCATTCATTATATGAAACTATAACCTGGACAGGAAGGTTATAGCAAAACCTCTGCAAAAATATGGCTAAACCCACCCCCAAACCACATCAAACCACATTAACTCTGTGCCATGTTGTGTGACACTGTGCTGTAATTTTTATTGGAATACTTGAGAAACCGCAGGAAGTCAAACTGTGAACTCTGCAGTTAATTACTGTAAGCCCTTCCCTCTTACCCATTACAACAACAACATCCTTTATTTACCAGAGGATCCTATCCCAACAAATTTAGATATGTTATAGAATAAAATTACATTAACTCCGTTAACAAAATTAAGTGACCTGATGTCCTAAACTAAAGATAGAGTACTCTAAAAATATGCAGCTAATATTTAAATAGAAAATATACTAAATTAAATGTATAACACAAAAATATTTGCCCACTGAATGCTGTGATTGAATAATCAGAATCAAGTATTCCAGAGAGAACAATTAAAACTGCTTCCTACAATTATTGGCACATTTTACATTTAAAATGCTTTCTAAATAGGCAGCTCACTAAGTTTTAGGAACATATCTAAGGTCTTACGAGCAGACAGGATGGCTGGCATGTCAAACATTTGCTAGGGAGGGGTCATGGCCACGTTGAAGTAGTTGTACAGTTGCTAAGAGACGCAGACATTCGTGTCACTCATTAGTGACTTACCTCTTCCACTTTAGCATAAACTCAGCCATAGCAATTTGTGCTATATGCTATAACTGGTGAATTTTTATAAATAAATAAAATGTCTTTGTGATGAGGCAACATCTGGGTTTTAGAAGAAGCCTTGGAAACTTGGCTGTTGTAGTAGTTTTCCCCTTTGGAAGGTTTTGCTGCAAAAGTCCAGTTCAGACCAAAGTGCGTCACACTTCTATTTCAGACGAACCACAAACAAACACTTCTTAAAGGGCTTGGTGCTTACTCACACTGATATACCACAACTACCACTTCAGGGTGGACCGACGTACTTTATATTTTAGATATAATTTATGTCTGTATTTTCCCAGTTGCCATTTCCACTTAAAGTTAGTTATCCAGTGATACACTGACAATCTGAAATAACCTGACAGATATTAAAGGTCTGTGTCATATTTTGTTGTTTATCATCATAATTGAGGTTTGGTTAAGACTAGCTCAAAAGACTAGCTGTTTGGGTACGCAGGCATGTAAGAGTTCTAGGAGGCAATTATAGAGAAATACTTTGACGACAGACTTTGCTCGGGCATTTAAGAATGATCATAACATTTCAGATGCTGTGCAATGAGATCGGTCTGCTGGTTAGTCAGGTTATGCAGTCCCATAGCGCAAAGTCACATGACTTTTTTCGATGCGCATGGAGGAATTTACTCATAAAATGCGTTTCCATCTCCCATTATTTGCTTTAACAATTTTTCGCACAAGTCAAAAACCACCTCAAGCAAGCATAAAAACTTTTTTTGCGAATTAATTGATTTTTTTTTTTAAATTTGGCGTTTCCAATACTCGTTTCTGATGCGATACTTCAAAATGTGCATAAAAAACAGGGTGAGAGAAACATAGCTAATGACATAAGACGAAGGTGTAAATATTTCTAAACTTACCGCACATGGTCGTCCCCCAACGATATTGAAGCCTAAAGATCCAGACTCACGATGGAGTATTGCTGTGACACTTTTGGTCTCTCCACCCTGTAAAAAGATAAAACCATATAAATTACCCATTAATTCACACATACATCTATTTAAAACCTTTGAAAAATGAAAAACACCAATGAAATTACTAAGCATTTACATTTGGGAAGTAGAAACATTTGAGCTTCCAAACGCAATATGTCAAATGTAACCCTTCATGGTGTGTTTTTATAGTACAAGCTCTTAAATCATCTGCAGGTATCACGGTTTACATTTGACTGTGACCAAAAGTGGTGCGTGACCAAACAAGTAAAGAGGTACACCTGTTAAGAGTCATTAAACATCATGTTCTGCAATCTACATAATTCTTCTAAGCTTAAAGCATCTTGGAAAAGAAGCTGTCAACTGGCTGGCGGATTTAAGGGTTAATGCCTTGTTCCGTGCTCATTCGGTCAAGTATATTAATACATTTGCAGCAAACGGCTCTCTCAACAGATGAATAACAGAACATGGAGAAACGAGTGGTGTCAGCATTTTATTCCTCACTTAGGGTGGCACCGCATTGGATCAGCGACTAAAGCAGCTGTCATTTCTGTGGGCCACAGAATACAGTGTCTAAATATAATACAGACATCAATGGCATGCATGTACAGTGTCCTCTTTACTATCTTTGCTGAGTGTATGCAATGTATGCCTCCAAGTGAGGAATGCACCCCACTGGACCAGGTCGTGGGAACAAGTCCCATAATTCCATGGGAAACAACGTCCGTAGAAGGCAGCGACTCCACTTAAAATAAATGCACATCACTGTAGTGTATGTCAGTGGTTTTCTGCTAATATGTTTCAATTTGATTACTGTAAAAGAACAGGGCAGCTTGGTAAATAATACAAGTGTGGACTGATGTCAGAGAATGACTCATCTAAAGAATAAATTCTCTTGAATTGTGAAAACAAACAAACATATACTGCATAATACATGCTGAAATGCTCCAGTGATGATTTGAAAACTCTTGTGATATCATTTTTTTATTCTTCTGGAGCAGCTGGATCAACAGCGTTCAACAGACAGGCCCAATCCTGCAAATGTCAGCTCCCCATCATCGTCCTCCTTTTCCCAGCCCTGCGTTGCTTCAATTCACTTGACTGATCAACCATGTGATGGGAACAGCAAGAGAGACTACATTCCCCAGCAGGAAGGCAGTCGCTGGCACTAAGACATAATTCAGAGCCCATAAACATGTTCACTCACTGGGTTGCCTTAAGGATCTTGTGCTCCTTCATAGAGCGGTCAAGGGAGGTTATCTGTCACAAGTGTAACTCACTGACATTTTTCCATGCTCCGATGGTGTCCTGAGGTGAGAATATATTATAGCTAATCTGAAGGGCATCACACATGCCAGAAGATGTCATTGTACTTGATGTAAGGCATGGCAAGGACATACTGCACTAAGAAAAAAGGGCCATAGTAAAGTTTTTTTTTTTTTTCTCAAATCTGGCCATGTGCCAAAGTATTCTTTTTAGCACATGGAGTACGAAGTATACACCAAAGTACATACCACATGTACTGATGCACTAGGTATGAATAAAATACTGTACTTTTGTTAAATTTTATAATATTATGGTTTAAATAGGCTACCGTTTTAAGTCAAATATCCAAATGTAATACCTCCTTTGGACATTTTCTTGAGTTTTCCTTTAGCAACAAGGCCTCAAGCAGCTCTAGTCTCTAAATGTAACCAAATTTAATGAAGCTTTTCAAACTCCTAAAATGTAGCACACTATGCAACATATTTTCTTAAAGGGGTCCTATTATGCTTTTTCACTTTTTTAATTTTAGTCAGTGTGTAGTGTGTATGTTTGGGCATAAAAAAGATCTAGAAAGTTACCACACTAAACTAGAAGGTTTACATTAAAACCAATGAAGTCTACACTTCAAGCCAGCTTAAGCAATGTGTATTTCGGGCTGGAGGAAATCCTGACATAAAAAATCTGATCAATCAAAAAAACTTGTTTATGAGGCAAGAAATAGAAATCTGACATTAATATCAACAAACAAGCAAACATATAATAATAATAATAACAACATAAAATTGCCCATAGAGTCTGAATATAAACATCAATAATTCTAAAATTAACATTTTTAGCTTTGTCTACACTACACAGTGAGTTACGATTTTTTTAAAGTCGGCCCGACCCTGTTTCCTCTGCCTCCAAAATCGCTTGAAGCGAGTTTCTTTCCTAGTAAAATGGAAAAGCAGGAGTGGAGCTGTAGTTGACGGATTGGAACGCTTTAAGACGTCCGTCGCTCCGCAATGCCATTCCAGGCCAGGGTTTAAGTATGCGAGTTGATTGAACTACACGCGAAGCTTGGTTTGACCTCCTTTAAAACTATTTTCGTTGGCGGAGAAGAAATATACGAAGTCACTATCCAAATTTGCCTTAAATGTAAGTCACTGGATATTAATTACTTGTCCAAGCCTGTTTCTAGAACTATAAAAAGCTACATCACACTTGCAATCGACAAGTTATGTCAACAGGGCTGTGATTACCTGCAGCCGGTTGCCTACCGCCCAATCACAACCGATTCCCGTAGGAATCCTCGATTGATATCGCTTTGAAAGAAATTAAATTAGATCGTTTATAGTTGATAATTTTTAGTTGGAAGCTTAACAACTCTGACTATAAACGTCTAAATAAATAGGGAGATAGAACAAAAAGAACAAAAGCACATTAAAACGTTTTTTTTTGTTCTAAGGGAAAATTTGAGCAAAAAACACAAATACAAAATCAGCTTCCATGTTATGGAAATATTGCTCTCATAACGTGCCTTAAAAATGCCACGGTAACCACAATTTCTGCTAAAATACCATAATTAGTAGGCCTACTGTAAAACCGCTACAAATTATGATGTGATTTCATTCAAGTAAGTTACTTTTAGAATCGTTATTTGCTCATTTGATGACAGTGGTGGCCAAAACTGCTTTACCACAGTTTTACTGTAGTAGTGAAAACTATGGTTACCATGGTAAATGTTTGTAGGAGTTATTAAGCTGTTGTCAATATTGTTCTCTTACCTTACACGGTGGAGAGAGGCTCTTGGACAGCGAGTCAATCCTGGCGCTGTATTCAGTGAATTTCTTCTGATACTTCAGCGCTGTCATCTGAAGCTCGTTGTGAACCGCCGACAGTTGAGCCAAAAGCGATTTCTCTCTTTTAGTCGATTTGAGAGCTTGTTTCTTCAGCTCCTTATCCAAGCTGACAACTTTCCCTTGCAGCGCGCCGTTGTGCGCTTTGAGGGCTTTCAAACAGCAGTGGTTGTCCAACTTCTGCTCCTTATGAGTGAGCATCAATCCGCATCCACTCTCGCATATCCCGACCGCTCTGTAATCACACGATTCACGCATGTGAGCATCCATATCTTTCAGGTTGAGCACTTCGCTGCAGCCCTTATTCCTACATTTGGCAGGGGAATAATCGCACATCTCCGCGTGCTCCGCCAGATGCTGGAGTTTGACGATCTTCTCGCAGCCCCGCGCGTAATTGTCACATTTAATGTCTAACTTTAATATCAAGTTTTTCAGAGGGAGGACGTGGTTGAGCTCTTTGGTGGAGATCCTTTGGCATTTGACCGGGCAGCTGCACTGCTGGACGACCCACGGCAGCACACAGCCGGCGCAGAAGACGTGACCGCACGGGGTAGTGAGCGGATCCTCCAAAACTTTATTACACAAGTTGCATTTGAAGTCTGGGTCCACAGCCCCCTTGAAACGATCCAACTCAAATCCCATTTTAAAAAAAAAAGGGAAAATCCAAAACGGAACCGGGACTCCCACAGAATAGCACAGGGGTTTAATCGCTCTTCGGACTAAGTCATTAGAAGAGCTCAGAGAAACTGAGTAGACTAGCACGAGCACTTCTACTGACTGAACTAATTGCCTGAGACTTCCTATAGGGGAGAGAAGTGTTGCAGATTTGGGTACCGTAACGATCTGAAGAACTGCGCACTCAACCAGGTGGTTTAGACTAGCCTAAAAAGTGAAGCCAAACTTAAAATGCATGAAAGTTGTTCACTAGATAACATTCATACAAAGAAATATTGTGCAAGCACACTTTTCAAGTGAAACACTTTAGAATTTTTTTTGGGGTTTTGTGAGTTTTAAATGATAAAACAGTAGGCTTACACAGAGACCAGGGCTAGCTGTCACAGTTTATATATATATATATATATATATATATATATATATATATTAAATCAAATTATACTGCAATGTATCATTTAAACTTTTATTACAATACATACATACCGGTATATGAATGGGATTATTTTTGAAAGTAATTAACATGTTAATGATGAATTTAGACATTTTTAATGATAAAGTGATTAATGAAAAAAACGTTATCATTTTTTTAAATTATAAATCATTACATTTATACTGTTTTTACATGATTCACACAGAACCAAATATTATCAGATCCAGATTTTTTTATATTTAACATTAAAAGATTTTGTATTATATTGTATTATACTATGCCAGTTACTATATAAGTTGTTTGCAGCCTTGTTATTCTTGTTTTGTGAAATATTTTGCATTATTTGTGTGCAGATGCCACTTGGTTTGATGTTTTGTTATTTAATGCAATGACATTCATGCATTTTAAATTTGGCTTAAGTATCTAAATACTTTTTTGGACCATATCAGATATACCTTTTAGATATAATTCAGAAATGTAACTAAAGACATACACGCAAACATAAAAAACTAAATAAACCTGCCATTAGAAATGTTTGTGTGCTTATGCAGAGCAGCTGAGAAGCTCAATCAAGATTACAGATTTCAAACTCTAAAAGCCCCAAAGCTAAAGATGCTGCTTCACATCCTCTCGGTTTGCATGAGTGGCCAGTGATGCCTCTTAGGGGGAAAATAATAATCTGTCCGAACTGTTTTCTGATAAGTAAATGAGAGCTTGTGAGCGTATAATTTGCCTAAAAATGTGTATTTGTGTTCAGTGTGTTTTGTGTATAGAGAAACCTGGAGTTTAAATACAGCTCATTTAAATAAGGACATTTTCCATCTCGGTAGGAAGTAGCATGGTCATAATAGCATTTGAATTGTAAATGACTGAGAGCCACAGACAGGGTCACTGGCAGCTATGTGCAGCCAGTGAGGGGACAAGAAAGGCCTTTACTTTTGCAGCTTAACTATCCTTTGTGAACAGCGTGGATCTCTCCTGCTATTGACTGATCTGAAGATGGGAAATTCTTTTCATCAATATTCTGTGAAATCAAATTTCATCGCTGTGCCGTGACAGCGATTCAGTCCACATGTGCATTATTAAATAACAACTTCCAAGTTCATTACTGAATCTAGGGTATTGGGGAAAAATTAAAGAAAAAAGTAACATTTGTAATCACGCATAAATTTGTCTTTTTCTGGTCTTCAGATGGAAATCTGTAGTTCAGAAAAACAAATGTCAGAGGAGTGGCTCAGTAATTTAATACTGACACTGATAGAAGTAATCCAATCAATACTTCAAAGGAGTCAAAGATATTGACTATTACGTTCCGAAATGTACAGCCAACACTAATTAATTTATCTTCCATTTTATGTATTTTTTTCCAAGAAGTTTAGAAAAACAGTACTGCTAAATTGTCAAGTATCATACAGATAGAAAAACAAATAGATCTTAAATAAGATACTTTTTTTTTCTCCAAAGTCAGTATAATGTTGATCTTGATGTAGTATCATTAAAGTCTCAGCCTTGATTTAACCACCTGCCAAGCTATTATTCAAATGGTTCATGTGCAACCAGATAATTACATTACAGATGCAGTTTGGATACACATCATGTTGTAATACGAAACATTCAAAATAAACAATAGTCACTGAAGTGCACTTACCAAAAAATTAATCCTTGTAATTTAGGAAAGATCTTGAGTCTTGTTTATTTGTTGGCCGTGGCAGAGAACTCAGATGACTTAGATCAAGTAATGCAAGGTTAAAAATAAAGATCATTTGTGATAAGATTTGATCTAGCTCCGGGCTGTATTGGATGTTACTGAACCATTTCTCATGCTCTACATTTCTTCCATCTTAGCTCACATGTCTATAGTCTTTCACCCCACCCTTTTGGATCTAATGAACTCGAATATTTAAGTCAAAAGAGACCCTCAGACTTCTGCAGTGGCAGTTTAAAGTATTCTAAGATATGTTGCATCATTTCATAATGTATAGAAAAAAACTTGTTGGCTTGGAATGTATCTTTTTAGAGTGCTTTTTGTTATATTAAAGGGGTAAAATAGGCTCAGTAAAACAATGCATGGTTGTTTGCACTGAAAAGCTGTTATTAAAGCATTGTAATGAGTTGCAATTATTTTCTAAATTCACATGCTGCTAGTTAACCCACTTCTTGAGCTTTTTTCTGTTATTGTGCAATTTTGTATAAGACTTTATTTCCTTATAGAAACAAATCTCCCGCTTTTAAATCCATCAAAAGACTGGGAATTCCTAAGTCCATATAGTGGATTCCCTATGTAGAAAATTATTGTAATTGCTTGTATGGCATGGCTTGTAATTGCTGAAGCCTTCACCTAATGTAGAGGGATACAGAAAGGTCTACCTTTCTTTAGATGAGGGCTTCATTTGGAGCTTTGGATGCCTGCCATACTGCAGTCATCACCACTCTGCTATAGTGATGATATGTCAAGAACATGAGGGCGATGTGGGATTGCGGGATCTTGTAAAGACTAATTGCTTTTCTGTATATACATTTTCATCCTGCATTGCGACAGAGTTGCTATCAAAGGCAATGAGTGAAAGACATTTCTTAAGCTATTTTTTCTTTATCATCATACTTTATTGCAGTCAGTTTTAAACACTGGGCTATGAAATGCATCTGCTTATATGCACTGATGCATTTTCTTTGAATTCGTTTGCTCACTTGTGCACATTGTTACACATGCCTACATGCATACGAGTCAGTTAAATTTAGTTGAAAGCAACTGGACTTCGTTATCCATTCGTTTTATTTTATTAGGTCTGTAGCTCTCTGTCATTGACCCCAATCAGAGACTGTTAGCGGCGAGCCCATGTTGTGTCCACCTGAGGTTGAAACACAGATGTTTCCTATAGTCTGCTGCTTTTTCTTTGACATTGCTTTATATTCTCGTACCAGTTGCAGTTTATTATAAAATGTCTGGCAATTGTCTGTGAAGTTTTTCAGTCACCCGGGTCATCGTAGAATCAGTTGGAAGGAACCAGTACAGTAACGGGCTTATAGGATTACGGTAGTTCACTCAAAAATTAAGCACTGTTCCTGCATTCTTCATGGACCTTTTTAGGGTCTTTATGCTTAGGTTGTGTACTCTGTTTTGCAATGGGAGTTAGACAAGTCTATGCAGATCTTATGGTGACCTTGTGACCTTGTTCTTGTGAACTGGTAAGGAAATGGGTCTTGATGCAACACATGCAAGGCCACACTTGTCTCCTGGATGATGTCGATGACAGATGGTGTGAGCAAAACGTATGACAGCAGATTGCTCACCTTTATATTTCTGTGTTTATATGTGGAGCAATGTGGAAAATCAGCACAGAAATGCAATGTCAGGAAAAATTGTTTAAAAAAATGTCAGTATTTAAAAATACTTATACTTGTCTCTGCACATTAAGCTGGAATATATAAGTAAGCCAAAGGTTGATTTCCACAAAATTCCCCAAAACACTGTTATTCCTTTTGTGTTTTCAAAATATTGCTTTGTTTGTTTGAGAATCCCAAGCAGCCTGCACAGCAACAGTGGCACAACCAATGACCCGAGTCTGGGGCAGGGCCTTCTGATTGTGTAACCAATGGGAGATGTGGGAGTGTACTGTTGGGTGACATTACACTACACAGCTTTCAAGCATAATACTTCTTCTTTCTTTAATATTGCATATTCAACTGGTTATCTTAGTTTATATCACTGGTGGTTGGCCAATAAATTATTGTATACAGAAGTAGACTTTCAAAAACACTATTATATGAAAAGACAGTACATTTGTCCACCGTATTTTTAGCGTAAGAGTGTGTGCGGCCATTTGTAACTTGAATGTATGAGGCTCCTGGTGTCACTTGCTTTCAGTTATTTTAGCTGCTTGATTCTACAAATTGGTAGCCTATTTGTTATTCTTGTAGTTATTTACCTATAGCAGCTAATGAATTGGAAGTCTTGCACATTCACAGAAAATATTACTTCCACATTACGAAATAAGGCGGATATCTTCATTTAGCTTTTAGGAACTATCCAGTCAACACTAATAACAATGCAGTCCCTTAAAACATACATTTGTTGGGATAGCTGAGAACATTTAGTAATGTGAACGATCAGGTACAATAATAATCCACTTTGTATAGAAAGAATCAAAACATGTGGCGTTGCCTTTTGTGCAAACCACTTGCTGACGGACTCTGCTGACTGCAAATTTAAGTCTAAAGGGAAATTATATTCAAAATACATTTTTTGTGGAAAGACCAATACTGATCCAAAACTAACCAGATGGAGAGGGTGGTTAGGAGACAGCTGTGTTTTAGAGAATAAGAATGAGGGGAAAAGATTAATAGCATCCTTTATTCCTTCGAGGGTTTAGCGATGAACTTCAAGTCAGACACAGAGATGGCATAAGTCTTACGTTGGTCAACTTCAGTGTTGATGTAATGCAGGAACACAATAGGTCCTGGAACTCTGGGACCTCCTCCACAATATCTTTCATCGGCGGAGTGGGCCTGCATTCGATCTTGTATTAAACGCTTTTGGCAACTGAGCTAGCATAGTGCATTAGTCATAGAGGTTCCCAAATAACAAGTGTGTAATATTAGAAACAGATGACTTCTTTTACAAAGCAGACAACCCCAAGTGCTTAAAACAGAACAAAATAAGAAAAACAACTAAAGACTGTGGTGTTAAACAACATTGTTTTGGTACATCCCTGAGACACGAAACAGAAAGAATTGATTAGGCTGGTTTTACTGTGTGGTCTTGCATCTGCTTCTTTTTGATTGAACTGATTTCAAAGTTCAGCTTATTATTCAAAACACTAGGCTAACCCTGAATCAAAATAAGGTTTGTTACAAAAGCTTACAGTAATGTTCCAATGCTTTTTTGGAAGTCAGCTGTTAAAAATCTTTATAAAAAGTACAGTTCTGACTCTAAAAACTGATTAGACAAGCCACATTTGATGGCGTCATAAAATAGCCAGTGACTGCACATGATTTAAATTATACAAAGGGCTCCGAAAGTCTGAGACCACATTGAAAATGTGGTACTTTTAATTTAAACCTGGAAATAAACAGTTTAAAAAGTTTTAGGGTTTTGACAAATTTAAAACAAAGAAAGTTTATGGCTTAAAATGAATAAGAAGCATATTAGATTCTGAACTTCAAGTTATGTTGATTAATATAATTTGTAATGTAAATTGTTCCTAAATTATGCAAAAAAAAACTATATTAATGAGTGAAAAATTATGTATTATTGCCACATTTTATAAAATCAATGAAGCACGAGAGACTGTATTCTACTTCATACATTAAAAACCAACCCTTTGATCTGAAAAAAATCACCAATTCACAAATTATCATGTCTTATTGCTTTGTTTAACCATTCAGCTTTCAGGTCTGGCCTTCACTATGTTTCTTGATATATTATCATCTCCATGTTCTAATATCTGCTTTAGGCACTTGGAGATGTGTGAGTTGGAAGCTGATCCTGATGTTTGGTGGCTACAGCAGAGACCTGAGAGGAGGTGATAACACCATTGGAACTAGACATGTGTCTCGTTCCTGATGAGATGAGCAGTGAAAGTAAGTAGCTGAGCTTTTATAACTGATGAGGAGTCAACAGGAAAGCATTCTCGCATTGTGCTGCGAGTTTGTGTTGAATTGGAGGAAACCATTATACTTAAGTGTGCTTATGGGACACAATACCTTCATAAAGCACCTTCATAAAGCATTCATCAGCTAACATTATATTTTTCTTAATATAATTATTATTATTTTTTTGCCCTTTGGGATCACCTTTGTTAAAGGCAGGAAGGCTACCTTCATCTATATGTAAAAACCATTAGGTCTGATATTAAATAGTTTGGCATATGTTCACTGTGTCTCCAAGGCTTGTAACATAATCTATGAAACAGATGGAATGACCTATTCACAGACTCATGCATCTTTTTGTGCACCTTTGCATTCTGTATTTTTTTACTTATAGTGGTTAAAGTTCATGCATTTAACAGGCCACATTTACATTAAATGACTGTTAGAAAAATGTGAATCCAACCAGAATTCCAGGTTTAAATATTGTGCAAGATAGACAGATCCAGGGAGTACAAGCCTGTCAAACCATGAACATCTTCCTGTGAATTAATATGTCCAGATATTGCTCAATCTTAAGTCACAAAGGGGGTTAAAGGGAGGAACAGGATCAGCGTCAAGTAGAACCAGTTTTCCACAATGAGCCTTGGACCACTGCCTAAAGGACATTGAGCATTCGAGAACAATCTTATGTAAACAACACAAACATTGTCTTTGTTATCCTTGGTTTTGTCCTGGAGGGAATGAGATGTCAAAGAGCATGTGTATTTACAAGTGATTCGGCTCTGAGGAATCATAAAGCTTCTTTTTTCATGTTTACATAGCTCAGGACTGGTGCAGCATCTCAAAGAAACTTTAACAACTATTCACAAAAGAGAATATTTTCTTTTATTTTTTAGTGCTTAGATAAATGTCATATTTATACAATTTAGACAAATTCTGTTAGCCAACATAAATAAACAATCTGGCTCAAAGGCTTCTGAGTGGATGAAAACAAAAGCATGCAGTTAACTAAAGTCCTAGTGGGCAATATTGAGTGTAATGCTCAGCTGCACTGCTGTAGTAGTGGCTCACAGCAGTATAATTTAATCAGCACGGAAACAAGGCAACAGTCTGCCTGAGTAACGTGAGGATCTAATCGGAAACAACCCTGCCCTAATTATCCATTACAAAAATAATGAGCTGAAGTCATGACCATTGTTACTGTCCCTTGCGGGAAATTCTTTGGCAGGTCAGGCAATATATAAATTGGCTATAGCAACAAATAAATGACACTGTATTTTTTTACATCTGTTTATAAAAAAGGAAACATGGAAAAAAAAAAAACTTTCTTGGGTAGATAACACTTCTCAACAGAATTTGCACTACCCAGGGCAGCACTGAGAAATTCACCTACAATTTGTCAAAAGGGTCATAAGTTGCCTTTTGTGCCAGTCATAAACATGGAGTAGAGAATGAATATGTTGCAGGCTTCAAGTTTTACTGTTATTAAAGGCATTTTTTAAACATTGTTGACTTGACTTGAAAATTTTCAAAACATTTACATTTACAAAAGGTTATATTAAAGTAAAAGCTGTGTACAAATTTATTTAAATAAGATAATTTTTATTTATTATACAGTAAGAGTTATATTCCAATGTATTAAATTGATTAATTTCAACCCTTTTTCTGATAAAATGCTTAAAAACTTCTGTATGTCTAAAAACTTACAATTACATTTTCAAAATGAAAAAACAAAACAAAACACACACACACTTGTTTCATAGAATGACCTATGCAATGTATGTATCATACACCACATCGCAGGTTACCACTTTCTAGTCATTATCTGAACTCTACATTTCTAATTTCTCAAAGCACACTTTAAGTAAATCTTTTCCTTTTTAGGTGTGGTCAGTGTCCTCCACTCTGTAAAAATTATGGTACACTGCAAGATCGTGACCACAGCAGTGCATTCTGGGTACTTCTGGTCTATTGTGGCTTGGAGTAGCTATCAGCTCTGTGAGTGGAGGGTTCCTAACTGGAAGAGGCCTCAGAGGCAAATACCTGGACTCCATCTTCTGCTTTCCTCTTGCCATACCTCTGCCCTTTTCTTTTAAACTAGATGAGAGTAGAGATAGTGATACTTTCCTCCTTGCTCAGCACAAAGTACAAAAGCAAACAACATACCAGTCATGAAGAGAATTTCCATTTGATGTCTGCATGCAAGTTTGCTTGAGGTATACAACCATTCTTTCTGGTCCTCGAATCTGATTGGCTGACAGGAGTGTAATATTAGTGATATCGGAACTCCAACTGTTTCACTGTTTGTATCACTCCGCTTGCAGTATTTCTCATAGCGAGTGTCATTGCGAATGACCTAATCCATTATAATTTTATAAGTAATACAGTTTTTGTGTCACAGAATGCAGTTAAGAGGTTTTTTTTAGACAAGAATAGTTGTTTAGACTTCAAATATGCAGTTTGTTAGTAAAGATAAGGTGTGTTTGAAAATTTGCTGTACGTGGCATGATACTTTGAACACCTGTATGTATCTCTCACCTTAAAAGAAAATGTGAATGTTTACAATGGCATAGGGATGTTAAAATGTAATACAAAAATTGACTCTGTGTCAGAAACTCTGTTGTTTTTACTCAATTTTGAGAGCTCTTTACACTTTTAACCCAGCTTGAAGATTTCACCTGTAGGCCTATCTGAACTTTCCACTTGTCTGTAAGTGTGAGATTGTCACACAGTTTCATGTCCCCTCTAGATAATCAGAGTGACATATGGACTTGGCATGCACTAGTGCACTAGCACTCTTATATTCTGATCATATATGTGGCAGATGTCTCATCACCTTTTACGAAGCACTGGTGAGCATATGGGCTCATAGAAAGAGGTTAATCCTTTCCAGATCACATAAACAGGAAACATTAACAGCATGTAAGCATATCCTCCCTGCTTGACGTCTTATTTTCTTGTTTTATTTACTCATTTTAGTGAGTAGCGAAAAGCCATTCCTGCCAGTTGCTATGTAGTGAACGGCTATTAAATGTTTATCGTAAGGCTAAATTGTAGCAATACAAACTAATAATTCTGTGACATGAGGTTAAAAACATTTGACTAAAAACAGACAGGTATATGGTTTAGTGTGTTCATAATACTTACAGGAAGCTTTCCTCCCATACAGGTCTGTCCACTAATGTGCCTCATATGCTTTTAAATGTAAACATACCAACATATGGTAAAGTAACTCAAGCATAACATCTGCGGTGGATTAAAATTGCTACAGCATCAGCTGTGAGTGAATGCAAGTGATTAAATAAGACTAATTAAGAGATTAAAGGCTTTTTAAGATCTGCGTTAATTAAGTTGTAGGGCGTGATATTGCGAAATATTGTACTGTCTGCACGTAAAACGGAGACCACAATAAGTAATTTAAGAATTAAATACCACTGTTTTCCGGTTTTAATGAATCTTCAATTAAAGTCTTCCTCACGATGACAATAAAAATAAAAGCAAAACAGCTGAGCTCCCAGCTAAAGCATTTATGTCAGGCGTAAGGGACATAATATCTGGGGCATGAAACATCAAAGGCTTGGAGTTTAGCAACAAGGAAAAAAGCTGCGCTAATCAGCTAACATGGCAGACCACAATAAATTCTTGACTCACTGCTGAAAGAAGGGATCATATGGTTAATAAGTGTAAATAAGTGTTTCTTGCTATATGCAGTGGGCCATAACAATGAACTATGATTCTATAGTGGGGGATATTCTATTTGCATTGAAGTTATGAGTAACATCTTTTCTTTTTCTTTTTTTTTTTTTTTTTGGAACTCTTAATTCTAAAACAGTCAAATTTTAAAATCTTAAAAGAATAGTTTAGCCAAATATGAAAGTTATGTCATCCATTACCCTTTGTCATTCCAAACTTGCATGAATTTTTCTTCTGTGAAACACAAGAACAGAAAGATATATATTTTTAAATATCTAATAAGTACATACAGTGAAAGGGGTCTTCAAAATATCTTTTTTTTTACAGAAGATATAAGTGCATATAGGTTTAAAAGCAATTTGAGGGAAAGTAAATGATGACACTTTTTTTGACTTCCCTTTAAAGTGATAATTCATCCAAAAATGAAAATTCTGTCATTAATTACTCACCCTCATGTCATTCCAAACCCGTAAGACCTTCGTTCATCTTTGGAACACAAATTGAGATATTTTGTTAAAATCTGAGAGCTCTTTGACCCTCCCACAGACAGCAATGTTACTACCACGATTAAGGTCCAGAAATGTAGCAAGGAAATCGAATTTTCATTTTTGGGTGAACTAACCCTTTAAGGCATGTAAACCCAAAAACAGTAAACATGTCCATTCATTTATTGGTTCATTTATTTGTTGAGGGGCCATATAATAAGAGCACCCTTTTGGGGTTTATTTTACAATAATGGCTGACTGACTCTCCATATTGCCACACATTTGTCCACAAATTACATGGATGCTGACTGCAGCCTCTTTGTATTCTGTACAAATAGATAGAAAATTATTTTCCAGATTAAAAAGAAATACCTTTTTTAGGACACTTCCGAGAGCCCAAAATGTTTAAGCAGGACCAGCTGTTTTTATGGATTACACATTTGGTAAGCAAACATTTGGCCAGGGCTCTATGTAGTAGTTAATCTTTAGTTTTTGTAGCTCTGATTCCAGGAAGGTTTAATTATTATTTTCCAATTAGGCTTGTCTATCTGTAATTTGCCTTTTTTCTGTACATCACAAATTTCCAGTTAGAAACATAATTTATCCAGGAGTAGAAGGAAAATCTCTAGTGTCTTCCAGTTTGGCAGTAGTATTATTTTATTCCCACTCCTCCATCATTTTTAGCATGCTAAAGACATTTGACAGTAAACCACAAAGGATAAGCAGGAAAGATCGCAAAGCCCAGTGGTCAACCCCTTTCTCATTAACCTCCTGGATGCTCCCCAGCAATAACTTAACATTTCCATGGTTGCTTAGTAATGCAAAACCAACCATACAAAACAGAGCATTCAAATCATTAAGGCATTTGGGAGGAGGATGAGGCCGGTTCAGGAAGTGGCTGTGCTCACATATCATTTCTATATGTTTAATTACAGAAGAAATATATCATCTCTTGGTGAAGGAACAGATATAAGTCAAATATATTGCATTCTGTTCGACACTTTAACTAGTTCTGCAAGTATCTGCAGATTTACCCAGAAAAACAGCTATTTATAATACAACCAATCAGCCTGGGCTATGTTTCCCGAAAGCATTGTGAGTAGATCATAGAAACCATTGACATCATTGAGTACAAATTGTTATACTAAAGTTTGTTTGTTATACTCTATTGGTTTTCTGTAAGCATGAGCTGAGGAAGATGCCATTCAGCAGTAACAAAGGAAAGTCCCAAAAAATGATCATATAGTAAGTCTGGATGAGCTTGCTGCTGTATTTATCCTACACTCTCTGTACTGAGCAACTACAGAGACTCTTCAAAGTGACTCTGCTGTCGATCGAGCTAGTGCCAGAAGAAGCTTTGGGTTTTTCCAGCTAAACCAAGCGGCAGTGAGGAATAAACCTCTGACCCAATAGTTTGTAAACTGTCCTTGCCACATGAGTTCAGACTTGCAGCTGGAACACAATGGTGGCTGTGAGGAGATGACTGGTTAATCAGAAATCCCAATGCTTACTGTACATACAACAGGCCTGAAACAGAATATGACCAAACTCATGAGTTTCCTGGATACAGATAGAAACATACATGGATCACAGTACCATTCTATTGCTGTGGTTTTTCTAGACATGTATTTTTTTTCTTACTAGTATCTTGTTTAGCATGCAAGGGAAGCAAGCAGGCATGAACTGGACATCGGGCGAACTGGGATAATTCCCGGTGGATTTGGCCTGCTGCCCTCTTTTTTTTTTCTCCCTTTTCCTTTATTAGTATTATTATTATTATATAATTGCCTGTTGAATGTACTAAAGTGATTATTTCCGAATTCGCCATTCGATAAAAATCTCTAATAAATCATGAATTGATTAGTTGTGACTGGCTCCGTGCCTCCGCCAAATGGATTCGATCTCAATAATCAATGCAAGAAAGTCGAGAATGAAGAGGAAGCGCCCAGGTGGAGCATATAGGCAAAAATACTGACCTGTTCAGGACTTCAGGTGCAGGTCAGTTTCATCTGTAAATAGGTTTGTCTTTGTTTACATAGTTAAGCATTAAATTGCTAGCAGCTGTTAGTAGTAGCAGCCCATTACTCGTCACTCAAAATACTGTATGCTAAAGGACATCATTATCTATTGTAAAATTACAGTAGTAATTTAGCAGACAAATATTCACATCATTTTATAATAGGTTTAGTACGATCTACGGCAGACAACAACACAACCCTTAAGAAAATTAGCATGGTTTTACTATTAAAACAATTCAAAAACAATGGCTATTATAGTTAAACCAAGGTAACTACAAATTAACTACAGTTTTGTTAAACTAACTATAGCTTAACCATGGAAGTTGTAGTAAATCTATGGTTACAAATGATAATCAATTTGCCAAAAAAAAAAAACATGGTTACTGCACTTTTACTATATTAAAACCATGGCTAATTTTCATAAGGGAAAAATGTGACTCATGATAATGCGTCAAAAAAAAAATATTGTCATGATGTAGCTATTATTGTACTCATTTTGACATTAAGGTAATTTAGAAAATATAAAAAATATAGTTTTGTTAAATCTCGGGTATTAAAGTCATGTGAGAGACAGAGAGATATCAGGGGAAATGAAGAGACTGAAAAAGAAAATATAAGTGCAGTTCAGGAGAGAACGTAACCACAGCCTATGGATTTAAACCTTTTTTTATGTGGTGGCCATAGGGTTGTCCTGTTTCAGAATTTGCTGTGGGTGTATGGGATGGCCTGGATGAGTGTGAGATTTCCTGGCCTACAAACCAAGATTCAAATACAGACATTATGCACCTATTTTCTTAATTTATTTCATTGGCATGGTATTACCATATGCCATCAATAGACCAATTGGTTTG